CTTGAAGATCATGAAGGCCATCTGTTCCCCCAGCCCTGCCACGTCCCCACCAACCCATGTCCTTCAGCACCACATCTGCATGGCTTGGAAACCCCGCCAGGGATGGGGACTCCACCACTGCCCTGGGCAGCCTCAGACAGGGCTTCCCAAGCCTGGCAGGGAAGATAATTCTCCTGATGTCCAGCCTAAACCTCCCCTGGTGCAGCTTGAGGCCATTTTCTCTTGTTCTATCACTTGTTCCTTGAGAGAAGAGACTGACCTCCCCCTGGCTCCAGCCTCCTGTCAGGGAGCTGTGCAGAGCCAGAAGGTCTCCCCTGAGCCTCCTTTGCTCCAGGCTCAGCACCCCCAGCTCCCTCAGCTGCTCATCACCACACTTGGGCTGTAGACCCTTCCCCAGCAGCTTTGTTGCCTTTCTCTGGCCATGCTCCAGCCCCTCAAGGTCCTTCTTGGAGTGAGGGGCCCAAAACTGAAGCCAGGATTCAAGACATCAATGTGGTTGGGCATGTACTCCGGTCTCTGTGTCCCAGGTCAGGTCTGGAGGCATTGTGGAAGTGTTTGAGGGCCATCCCTAAGGGGGAAAAGATGCACTGGGAAGGCTAAGTCAGCTTGGACTCAGCACTTTGAAGATGTGGTTTGCTACTTCTGGACTCAAGCTGGATGTCAGTCTGCTGCTGAGGTCCTCATGTGTTCAGGTATGCCACCAAGTGCTGCAGAGAGCCCTGAGGGCCCTGTCCCTCTGCATCCCTGTGGGTGGACAGGGAGTGTAAAAGGCTACCATCGTGCCTGCCAGCAGCTTCACCCAGTTTGCAGTGCCATTAACTGGAAGTGGTGCTGGCAGAGAAACCTCTCCTTGTGCCTGGATAAGGGGTTCTTATTTTTGTAGCTTCATTCCAAAAGAGCTGAAAAACATCCTCTTGCTGTGCTTGGCTGTGTCTACTCTCTGGCTCAAGCACACTTCTGAGGACTCCTAAGCTGTTTCAGAAATGCCATTGTTTTCAGCCTTAGATCCTTGCTATTTCTTTTGTGTAATCACAAAGGCTTGAAGAAGGGGGTGATGGAATTGTTGGAAGTGTGTATTGATACTTATCAAGAGAAGCACAATTTTAGAAAACACTCCTGGTGGGAGGAGCTGTCATCCCCCCACACCCTGTGCTATGGGCAACACTTTCCATGTGAGATGCCCCCCTAAGAGCCTGAGAAACTTCTGGTGATCCTTATCTTGTAGAGTCAGCTCTGGAGTCCTGGACAGATCCCGCTGGATAATTTCACTCAACCCCCTTAAATCCTTCTGTCAATGAGAAACATGTGAGGAGTTTTCCTTTCCCCGAGCTGTTGTGCAGCCCTGCTGTGAGCTATTAGAGAAATGTTGTATATTATTGCTGAGCCAGGAAGAGACCTTCTCATTTCAGGGAAGGCTTGAAGGGTTTTATCCATCTGCAAATTCAAGTCCATCAAAATGAAGGAGATTTGGGGTAAAAAAAAGAACCCCAAAATGCCATCACAAAAGCATGGCCTGAATATTGTAAAATAAGTCTTTATTATCTTTTCCCTCATCTACCTGTAAGTTTGAAAACAAGAGGCTAATGAAGATCAAATTCTGCAGTCATGTTATTTCTGGTTTTGCAATTAATTTCCTCCATTTGTGGCCCACAGTGCTTGGTGCTATAGATGCACCCAAAAAAGGCAATTCCAAAAAGATTAGAATCATGCTGGGCTGAAGTGACCCTTGTTTTAGGCAGAACGTCAACTTAAGCACAATATCTAGTTTCAAGTAACTTTGTGTGTGGCTGCATTTAGGGGAGGATTTATTCCTGGAATGAGAGAGAAGAAGCCCTAAATAATGTGGTCATTGATCCATCTGGTTTGCTCCTGTGGTTTACAGTTAGTGATAAGCACTTAAGGCTTTTTTCCTGGGCTGGCAAGGATGGAAGTACCCTTGAGGAGGTGACCTTGAAGCCATTAGATGGTATTGTTTGTGTGTTGGCAATGGGCCTGCTTATCCCCCAAGGGAATGCAGGGAGAGTTGAGGAGAACCAGTGGTGATCCATCACCCCCCTCACTGCAGCCTCCAGTTGTGGATCTGGGCAGGCTGGCAGGGTATTCCTGCCGAGAGGATTTGGCTGCCTGTTGCCTGCAGTTACAGCATGTTGTTAGGCAATAAAAGCCCCGAGAACATGATTTTGTGGAGACGTTTTGTAACGTGGCTTTTTTTCCTCCTGTCCTTGTTTATCTCCAATTTTAAGTGGGTGCAATTAAAGTATAAGCTTTTGATACTCCTTGCAGCCTGTATGTTCATCTTTGCTCTCCTCCTTTGGGCAGGGACTTTGCCAGTCGCAGCATGACTCATGGGTAGCTGAGGTGGTTCAAGGTGAAGGGAACCTGGTCCTAACACACAGATTCCTCTCCTACCTCTTTTCCTTTTTTCCATCTGATTTCAGAGCAATCAACGGGTTGACCTGTACAAGTGGAAGGAAGGGAATGGGGAAGTTTGCACATCACTGCAAGGACACACACGTGTGATCAGGTGAGGAACATGGGATGCTGTGGACTGCTGGGTGGAAAACTATGGCTTGTTTTGTAGAAGGTGAAGGTTTTGGTCCTGGCTATGCTCAGGCTCTGCTCCGAGCCTGGCTTTACTCACTTTTCTGGACTGTATTGGAGATGGATGGCACATGTGAAGCAGCTCACCCTCTCATGGCTCCCTCCAGTATATCAGCTAAGCCTCTGATAGCTCAAGGGTCATTGCCACAGGCTGCTGTCCTTGTAACAAACAGCAACCCTCATCTGGGAAACGGGTAGTAGCGTATTGATTAAATTGAATCCCAGCCATGTTTCTGTGTGATAGCAGCTTAATGAAAGCAGGTAATCCCAAATTTCAAGTCCACACTGTGTTATGGTGATAAAGGGGAGGTTTTTGCCTCTGGTTCTATAGGTGTGCTGGGCTAGAAACCGCTCCAGCTCCTGACTGTGGAAAGTAATTGTAGCTCTTGAAATGGCAGAGTCGGGGCTGTGTCCCACATAGACCTCAGGAGCCCATCAAGAAAGTGTCCCAGAGTGAGGACTTGGTGCCAAGGGGTAACTGGGAACTGGCTGAGACAGTGTCCCTTTGCCTGTGGAGGAAAGAGCACACACATGACAGCTGTAAAGCTCAGGGCTGGGAGGATGCTTCACTGGAATTTACTTAGAAGCATTTCATTGCTTCCTGGAATTGACTTAGAGAAATTAAGATCTTGCTTTTTACTGAACGTTTCAGAAAGTGGCACGAGTGGCCATCTATTTGTCAGAGAAGTGTAGTGGGGGTTTGTGAGTATTTGATGCAAACTGGGGGTGTGCCTTTCTCTGCTGACCTACTACGATGTTGTTCTTGCAGTGACTTGGACTGGGCAGTCTTTGAGCCAGACCTGCTGGTCACCAGTTCTGTTGACACATACATCTACATTTGGGACATCAAGTAAGAATCAGTATGTCTCTGCACTGCAGGGAAATCCTGTCCATACTTAGCAGCTTGCAGGGTGAAGCATGCACAGATGGGTGCTGCTTTTCAGCTCTACTTGCAGGGGCTTCATCTGCTTACCATAATGTGAAAGATGATGGATCTTAAAGGTCTCTTTGAATGAAAATGATTCTGTGATTCTGTTCCCTTGTTTTCAAGCCAGTTCAGGGTCAATGAAGAATGGTAGAGTGATATGCCTAAGTCACAGTTGTGGTCCTGATAAGAAAAATTACAATCCTGGAGTTGTTTTGCTTGGAAAGACCTTGAAGATCATCAAGTCCAACCATTAATTCAGCACTTCTGGGTCCCCACTGACCCATGTCCCTCAGCACCACATCTCCACGGCTTAGAAACCCCTCCAGGGATGGGGACTCCACCACTGCCCTGGGCAGCCTGGCACAGCCCTGGACAAACCTTTCTGCAGAAGATGTTTTTCTTTGTGTCCAACCTCAACCTCCCCTGGCACGACTTGAGGCTTTTTCCTCTTGTCCTGTGGCTTGTTCCTTGGGAGAAGAGCCTGACCCCCACCTGGCTCCAGCCTCCTGTCAGGGAGCTGTGGAGAGCCAGAAGGTCTCCCCTGAGCCTCCTTGGCTCCAGGCTCAGCACCCCCAGCTCCCTCAGCTGCTCCTCACCACACCTGGGCTCTAGACCCTTCCCCAGCTTTGTTGCCCTTCTCTGGCCATGCTCCAGCCCCTCAAGGTCCTTCTTGGAGTGAGGGCCCCAAAACTGATCCCCGGACTTGAGGTGCAGCCTCCCCAGTGCCCAGTCCAGGGGGATGATCCCTGCCCTGGTCTTAGTGGCCACACTGTTTCTAATACAAGCCAACCTTTTCCTGTTTGTGTCTTCCTTTGGTTCCTGATGCTTTCTGTCATGAGGAATTTCAGCACAACAGACCTTTCCAAACCCACAAGTGCTAGAACCCCATATGGTACACCTGAGGAGCAAGGAGCTGGCACTGGGACTGCTGGGTTCTCTTGCTGGCTGTACAGCAGGTCTTCATGACCCCTGGCAAGTCACTTTGTTCCTCTCTGCCTCCTTTGCTCAGTTATAATAGGAGGATAATTATATAACCCCACTGCACCAGGCTACCCTGAGGCTTGTTTAGCTCCTATGAAGCACTTACATCCTTGGTTAAATGGTGCTTGAGAATAGCAATATATTATTAATGTGTAATTAAAAGACATAGAGAGACAATAACTGCTGTTTTTGTTCTCCTCTGATACTATCTTACTGCCAAGGAAAAAATAGAGTTCTCCAAGGCTGTTATTGGAAGCCCTGCTTTAACCCTCTCATGCCCTGCCATCGTTTTGTGTCCATCTGTAGCAGTTTTCCAGAAACACTTGCTCAGGCAGTTTCTGAGCAGCCTCTGCATCCCACTGGTGCTGGTAAGGTCTCTGTGTTTTCTGGGGCAGTGTAGTGCTGGGGCTGCTGGCCTCCAGCAAATGAACAGCCTGCTGAAATGGCCATCTCTGATGACTCTCTAGAGAGGTAGTCGTGCAGGAAGGGCACCTGGAAATGCCCCATTTAATTTTTCTTTAAAAACAACTTTTTGGTTAGGCAGAAATTCTTAGAGGGAGAGCTGTAGCCCATTCCAGAAAATGTTCTGCTCCTCAGCAGACGCAAAAAGCTGAAGACAATATTCCTTATCTTCACGGGCATTTCTCGTGGAAGGGCAGGTGAATTCCTGAGGAGCAAGGTCGTGGAGTGAATTATTGCTTTGATCTGTGTCCTGGTTGCTAGGAGCTGTCGTGGTGCTGCACTGGCTTCCACCACCTGGTCTGTAGAGTCTGCACGCCACTGGGCTTACATCCTCCTAATTTTGTTGCTATATGCTAGAGATGAAGTTTCTGCTCTGAAGCCACTGCTACATCTGCCTTAAATCAGGCTCTGCAAAGGCTTGACAAACACAGCAGTGGCTTTTGTCAGGTTTTTCCACCGCTCTGTTTCTTCCCTGTTATCCTCCCGGGAGAGGCTATTCTGTAGCCTCCTGCTGCAACACTTTGTGAGCCCAGTTTCCTTCTCTGCCCAGTTGGAACACTGGATGATGGAATAGTTTTGGTTGGAAGAGACCTTTAAGATCATTGAGTCCAACTGTTAAACGGGCATTGCCAGGTCCCCACTGACCCATGTCCCTCAGCACCACATCTCCACGGCTTGGAAACCCCTCCAGGGATGGGGACTCCACCACTGCCCTGGGCAGCCTGGGACAGCCCTGGATAACCCTGGCAGGGAAGAAGTTGTTCCTCAGGTCCAACCTAAACCTCCCCTGGTGCAACTTGAGGCTGTTTTCTCTTGTCCTATTGCTTGTTCCTTGGGAGAAGAGCCCAACTACCTCACTACAATGCTTTGCATGTGCTTCTCCTTCTCTGGTCCACTCCAGCTCCATCCTATGTCCTAAACCTCCTGCTGTACATGCTGGCAAGATACAATGGCTCTTGCCCTCCAGCTGGTCAGCTCTTTATTCCATTTCATGTCATATATTTTGGTGAGCAGAAGGCACATTAGCTCCCAAGGGACAGCAGTAAATTTAGTCCTGGAATAGCAGGGAGCTCACTGGGGAGACTGGAGCTGCTGGGCTGTCCCGTGGGTGCTCACATTAGTCTTGTTGTGTTTCAGAGACACCAGGAAGCCTACAGTCTCCCTCTCTGCAGTCGGTAAGTGTGGCACATGTGTGGTACAGGCTTGTTGAATTCCTGCATTTCATGTCTTACACCCCCGCTGTTATTCCTCCCTCCCTTCAACGCTCCGAGGCTGAACGTGGCAGAGTGCACAAGTGATTGTCCCGTGTAGGAGCAGCCTGAGAGGCTCCAGTTCCCAGCGCCTTTTAGAGGAGCAGAATTCAGAGAGGACGTGGAGCCTTGGGAGGTTTCCAGCCACGGTGGGCAGCGGTGGTGCTTGGACTGCCTCTCCTAAGATTGGAGGACTGTCACATGGCATTGATGCCTTCTAGACACAGCTTCTCCCCTGCTGAAACACCCTGCTGCACTGTGTTCTCTCTGTTGCCTGGCTGCCAATTCTCAGTGTCCTTTTGTTTGACTGAATCAGCCCAGACACTGACCCCCCCCACCCCCGGGCAGTGGTGCTGAGTGCTGCTGGCTGTCACCCTGCCCTGTGCTCAGGAGGGGCTGGGGACACAAACCAGCCAGATCTGCTCCCCCAGGGCCCCATCAGCGTGCAGGCACCAGCTGCTGTGACATGAAGGTGCTCTTTTTGTGTCGTCCTGGCTCTGGGAAGCTGTTTGTCATGGCTGTTGGCACAGCACGTGCCCAGCCTGCTGGTAGGTGCCGTGTGTGGGTCCTCAGCAGTTGTGTGGTGGAACTGTGTGAAGGATGGGTGATGAACAAAATGACCTTTTCCTGAGTTACTGTCCCTCCCCAGGAGCTCAGCAATCCTCATAACACAGACCTCTTGGGCTCTGCTGCTTCCATCTCCTCAGGCCATGCCTCTGCAGTGGCTTCCCTTTCCCTTTCAGCCAGCAAACCTCTTATCACAGCCATCCAAAAACCTCCCTGAATCTGAGAGGAGCAGCGTCCAGTTCTGGTGCCTGGGATGAGGTTTTGTGGGCTTTTAAAGTACCAGCAGAAGAAGGATGAGCAGAACATGTGTTTCTATTACAATATCTGAACAAGCCATATCAACTGAAACCAGATTTTGCTGCTTATTAGAAATAACCAACCAGCTTCTGATTTTAGACCCTTGACTGAGGCCCTCGTGATGTCATAGAATCGTATCTGGACCATCATCCACCTTCTTTACAATGCCATTGATGTCTTTGGCTTCTGTGGTGAATTTTGACTGTTGGGCCTTCTGGTCCACCCAGTGAGTCTACCTCCAGCTGGCCAGACACAAGGTCCACCTACACTGCAGTCTGCTCCTACACCTGTATTTTAATACCAGATTAATAACTCCGTTTTTCTCTATAGCATCAGGTAGTATGGAGGGTGTTGTGGGGACAAATGAGTCAATCCTTGAGCACCTGGAAGCAGCTTGACAAAAAACAGAAGGAGTCTGGGAGAGGGTGATGAGGCTGCAGTTCTTGTCTGGAGGAAGTTGCACCATCTGAGCTAATGGACATGAGTATTTTAATTGGGTAGAACGCATGGCTAGAAATTATGGCAAAGATCTTTGAGGTCGTCAGGGCACAAACACTACACTGAGGAAACTGGTGTTAATCATTTTCACACGATCCTTCCTGCTGGCTTCTGGGCTGTCCTTTCTCCAAGCTGTCTTCTCTGTGCTCAGCAGAGCAGCTCTAAGCCCAGGTCAAGGCTCTGCTGTGCCATTTACTTTTTAATTGCGTGGTTTTGACCCGTTCTGTTTGTGCCACAGCTGGAGCTTCCCAGGTCAAATGGAATAAGAAAAATGCCAACTGTTTAGCAACAAGCCACGATGGGGATGTCCGAATATGGGACAAACGGGTAAGCTGAGGGTTTCTTGAGCAGCCTGTGCACATTCCCACCTACCCAATACAGACACCTCCTTGGTCACAGATAAATGCTGACAAAAAATGTACTATTTCATCCCAAATCTCTCTTGTGGATAAGGAGAATTGGGCATGCATGAACCTAAAGAGAGCATGTAGGTAGCCCTATACCCCAGAAACTGTGCCAGTTAACATTTTTCCTTTTGATCTCACAGTGCTTAACTGGTTTATGGAGTATAAGTATGGTTCAGGGCTGCACTTGGTGACTGGAATTTGCCCCATCTTCACAGGACCTTTTCTCCAGCTGCTTTTGCTGAGCTATTTGCCTTTCCCCAGCAGGAGGGTGTTCTGCCTCTCTTGCCCTTGTTAAAGTATCTCCTTTTACGCCAAAGAACTAGACCAAATTTGAAGAATCCTGTGCTGAGAAGGAACATGTCTCTTCTTGCAGAAACCCAGCACTGCAGTAGAGTACTTGGCAGCTCATCTCTCCAAAATCCACGGTCTGGACTGGCATCCAGACAACGAGTATACACTGGCCACTTCCAGCCAGGACAACTCTGTCAGGGTGAGTGCTGCTTCTGGGAGGTGTCAGAGTGGTGGAGCAGATCCCCTTCTGCTGTAGTTTTCAGGAGCACTTGCCATTGGCAAGATCTGGATCCTTAGTTTTTGGTTTCTGGCAGCATGTTTATTGAGCCAGGGGTGTGCTTGCAGAACAGGCAGCAAAGTCCTTGCAGGATGGGCACACATGTTTGCCATGTATCTGTGGTGGTTTGGGCAGTACTGAAGCTGAAAACAACCTCCTCTGCCTGTTGCTTGCCTGCCAGAAGGGAGCTGGTCACACACGCCAGAAGAGCCATCTCCCCAAAATGCAGCGTTGTCAGTCTTGGGCTGATTACAGCAACCTGGGGGGGAGACATACTTCAGCTCCTGGGGTTCCCGAACTCATCTCAAACCATGTTATCAGTGCCCACAAGTGTTGCTACACGGGGCCTTTTACTTGAGAGGAAAGTGGTGTGCTTTGTACTTCAGCCAAGTGGAGTTCATTCACATTTAGCTAAGCTCTGAGGCAAATGCAGTGGATCTGTATTCCAGCAAAGCAAAAGGTTAGATTCTTCGTTACCCAAATTAGCAGGAACAGCAGGGTGGACCTGCCTCCAGTCTGGACTGGTGCTGGCTGGGAGCCTGCAGGGTGCCTTGTGGCTCTGAAAGCCCAGGCAGGCTCCTTGTTTCCCTGCTCTAATTACTCAGGCTATGATCACTGTGAATATCACCCCAAGTTACTTGATTAAGGGATGCTGGCAGATGCTGATAGTTTGATATTTGTCCTTTGGGGCCACCTCTGCTGCTAGTGAATGGGATTACTAATGTTGTGGGCACCCTGGCCTGTTTTTCACTCTGTTATAGCTGCAAACCACATGGAAAACTGCAGCCTGGAAGTATAGCCAGCTGACTCCTGCTTTTGCTTGTCTTTCTGTTTGTTTTTTTTTTGTTTTTTTTTTTAAGTTCTGGGATTACCGTCAGCCTCGGAAATACCTCAATATTCTTCCCTGCCAGGTTCCTGTCTGGAAGGCAAGATACACGGTGAGTGAGGAACTCCCACCAGCCCCACGTGTGCTCTGAGAGCAAATGCACAAAGAGCCATTAAATAAAGAACTGCTGAAGGGCTTTTCACCAGTTCTACTGCTGAATATTAAGTTGGTTTTAAAAAATCCCTTTTGGTTGATAAGAAGGCCTAGAAAAGCAATGTCCATAGATCAAAGATACTCAGGAAAAAGGAGTGACCAGCAGTGTGAGATCCCAGTCTCGGGCATCCTCCTCCTGGGGAGTGAAAGTGTGGTGTAGGTGGGGGGCTCTGGGAGCAGGAGGCTCAGAAGGCGGCGGCTGCTCTCGCTGTCCCGTTTTTCCACTTGGCTCCAGTATCAGTGCCTGTTGCAGAGCCACGCAGTGATCTTCTTCCCTCTCCAAGTGCCTCCTTTACTCCCAAGGTTTCCAAGCATGCCACAGTGGGCTCTTACAGCGTATCAAGTCCAAGAACTGTTGCCTTTTATAGAGCAAGCACACCCAGCCATGTGAAACTAAGGCTCTTAACATCAGTCACATCCGTTCTCAGTTGCCCAGACATCTGACTGTGGCCCGAAGCCAGTGCTGTGCCTCAGATCTTTCCTCATGCCCATGGTGGGGGGGTAGCACTGGGTTCCAGTGTTCCTCTGGGCACTGTGACCCTGAGCAGCTGCTGAGGCTCAGTCCCCAGGCAGCAGTTCTTGCAGCTCTAGGCAAGTTGCAGTGAAGATCCCATGGGAAGAGTCAAGGGTGAAATCTCTCCAGCCTTACAGCTGAAAAGTGAGGAGGCAGCAGAAATAAATTATCTTCAGTGAGCTGCATTGAAAATCTCAGTGTGTACTGCATCTTCTCTGTTGTAAGAGATGATTTTTGTGCAGGATTTGTTGGACTGTGCCCTGTTTTAGGCCTGGTTCTATTTTGTGGTGAACTCCTTTAAAACCTACATGTTCTTGATAGGAAAAATTAAAAATGGGATCGTGGTAAGAGCAGCATGGGATCACAACTTCCCAGGGCTAACCAGAAGGGTGTTTCTCTCTCAAGCCTTTCAGCAACGGGCTGGTGACAGTGATGGTCCCTCAGCTCCGCCGGGAGAACAGTCTTCTCCTCTGGAATGTCTTTGACTTGAACACCCCTGTCCACACTTTTGTGGGGCATGATGACGTAGTGCTGGAGTTCCAGTGGAGGAAGCAGAAAGAAGGTGGGTTCAGGGCTGGATGCTCTCTGTCCTATGTGCTGTGGCTCTTGGCTCACCAGGGCTTTGGAGGCCTGGCTGCAGAACTTATGCTGTCACTGTTTGACTTCCTGCCTTTCCTTGGTGTGGCTCCTACCTGCTTCCCTGCCTCCCTCAAGCTGCTTTGTACTTGGCTTACAGCAGTGCCTACAGGAGCATTGCCCTGTTGTTTCCATGCTAGCAAAGCAAATCCACTGAATGCTGAGTTGGGTCAGCAGTGACTCTGATTGCTTCCACTCTCCTGTGAGCCTATTTTTAAACAAGTCTTTCAGAATAAATTGTACAAACTATTGGATGGGTGCAGGAGCCCAGGCATCCTCCCCCTGCTCAGAGCTGCAGGGTGACCAGTTAACCTCTCACTCACATCCCTGCCTGCGCCAGCAGCCCCCAGCACAGCCCAGAACACGCTCCCACTGACCCCACCTTATCTGTGTGCTGGCAGAGGCCGGGGGAAGAGCTGGGGATAGCGAAGCTGCTCTTAGAGTTCAGGCCTGCCTAAATTTTCCAGCATAGGCAGCTAAATATAGGAGATTCCGTGTTAGAGGTTGGGTAACCACAGAGAGCACAGCTTTGTTTCCATCTTCTGTTGACAGAATGTGCACGTCTGCCTTTGGTATCACTTGTGCTATGGCTTTGCAGCATAAAAGTTCTGGTCCAGCCCTCTGCCACCCGCTGCTGGGGCAACTCAGTTAAGTCACCTTCTTCTCTATACCCTTGTTTTCCTCTTTCAAAAAGAGGAGAGCAGTACAGAACTGTGTGAGGATGTGGAGGTGCAGCCCAAGAGGGCTTGTGAGTGAACATTAAGGCAGGATTGAACCGTGGCTGTGTTGCCTTAGCTGAGTTAACAGATCTGCATCCAAGGCTGGAACTGTTGCTCATCTCAGACAACGTAAATCAATCATACAAACATTCCAAGCCTGCTTCAATGTAGAGACAACCAAGATAGCACAGATCTCCTTGCACAGAGTGCTCAGCAGAGGGATGTAGGAAGCAGCTGTGCAGCAGCAGATTCTTAACTGTAGCAGCTGTTGGACAAGGGGGTCTTAAACTGTGTCACAAGGCCTAAACATGGTCATAAATAAGTCTGTGTACCTTTGTCTATCACTAGAAAGATGTGGTTAGACGTATTTCATTACAACCTGAACTCCTGGCATCATCCAAGTCTTTCAGAAGGAAAAAGGAGGGTAGAAACAGCTTCTTTTAGCTTAGAAATGTTTTAAAATGGCTGCATCATGAAATGGATATGGTGAAGTAAAAGATAGTTTGACTTTACAGTTCCTGTAAGAATAAATCTGATTCTCAACTCTATTATTTCTTCTACTTAAACAAGTATTGTAGTAGATCTTGTTCATTCCTCATTGGAAAACTTGCATCATGTTCATTATACTTACTTTGTGCTTTTCACCTGTTACACCCCGTTTAGAGGTTTAGTAACTGTTCTGCAGGGAGGTGGGGGTAAAGGACTCATTGGACCTTTGGTTTAGCACCTCATCCATTGGATCTCTCTGCTGGTTTGTTTAGATCTGTTTACGCTTAACAGACTTAGCAAGGTTCTCCTCCCCCTCTACTCTGCCCTAGTGAGGCCACCTCTGGAGTATTTGGTCCAGTGCTGGGCTCCCCAGTTCCAGAGAGACAAGGAGCTGCTGGAGAGAGTCCAGCAGAGGCTGCAAAGATGCTGAGAGGCCTGGGGCATCTCTGTGCCAGGAAAGGCTGAGAGCCCTGGGGCTGTTCAAACTGGAGAAGAGAAGACTCAGAGGGGATCTTATCAGTGCTCATCAAGGGCTAAAGGGCCCCTGGGGGCAAGAGGCTGGGGCCAGACTCTTGTCAGTGGTGCCTAGTGACAGGACAAGGGGCAACAGGCACAAACTGGAACCCAGGAGGTTCCACCTGAACATGAGGAGAAAATTCCTTGGTGTGAGGGTCCCAGAGGCTGGAGCTTAGGCTGCCCAGAGAGGTTGTGGAGTCTCCTTATCTGGAGAGATTCCAAACCTGCCTGGATGTGATCCTGGGCACCTTGCTGTGAGCAGGGTGGTTGGACAAGATGATCTCCAGAGGTCCCTTCCAACCCCACTGTGCTGGGATTCAGTGAAATGCAGGGCTGAGATGATAGTCTCTGTTTTCAGCAGGCTCTCTAAGTTGTTTCTGTCCTTTCTAGGTTCCAAAGACTACCAGCTGGTCACATGGTCCCGGGACCAGACTCTGCGGATGTGGCGGATTGACTCTCAGCTGCAGAGGGTACGTTGACACTCCTGCTCTTGAACTGCAGTTTTCTGATGGTACATTCACCTCCCTTTCCTTGCACTCCCAGCTGGGAGCATTCTGGTATCTCAGAACTGCAGACACAGCAGCCGCTTCACTTTTCCTTCTCACCTCCAGCCCAGAATCATTCCCAGGTGGACCTGTGGTGAGGGCTCTCTGTGTCTGTGCCCCAAAAGCTTCTGCGGAAGTGTGAGGCCACTTTGTTGTCTAACAGTAAGCACAGAAGTCATATGGGGAAGGTGGAGGTCAGTTACTGCTTGCAGGGCCTTGGAAGATGCCACCTCCATGACTGCCAGACTGTCTGACACTTGCTTGGCATTTTAGGTCTCAGGTAAATGTAGGGATTGTGCCCTCTGCTTCCCCCCCTTGTTTCCTTTGCCCCTTAGCCTCGTGCTGGCAGGGTGACTCCTGCTGTTCTGCTCTCTGGCAGCAATTACAAAGTGCTGATGTGACTACTAGCACTGCTTGTGCTGGGTCAGAGCAGAGGTTCACATGGCCACAGTGGCCTGTATTGCCCTCTCTCACCTTCAGCTGTGGTTGTCTTGGAAGGGGATAAGAATGAGGCAAGTAGAGAGTGATGGCCCTGCCAGCCTCCTGCAGTTTGCAGCTTAGGGGCTCATTGAGTCTGGCATCCTTGTTTGACAGAGCTTGACAAGTTTCACTTCCTTAGACCTGTTCTGTTTTTTCTTGGGCCTGTGTGAATTTTTGTCATCTTAAACATCTTGCCAACAACCAGTTTCATGGCTTTTTTTGCATGTTACGTGGAAAAAACAGCTTCTTCCATTTGTTTAGCAACCTGCTCGTTTGGTTCCACGGAAGACGAAATGAGCAGCAGTCTTGTCTGTGCTACTGGTGCTTCTGTAGACCTCCATCATACCATTCCTAAGCCACCTCCTTTTTTCCAGTCAAAAAGTCCTGATTTACCTCATCCTTTGTACCAGAATTTTGACTGTCCTTTTGCCTTTCACGACCCTCTTTCAGGTCTGCTCTGTACTTTTGGAATGGGGCTCTGAACTTTGTTCTTTCCAAAGAATTCTCGGTACTCAGTTTGGTTTTTAAAACTGTTGAGCATAATTCCATCAGCTTAATCTGGCCCCTGTCTTGTTTCTTCAGTCAGCTTCAACTTGCTGTTTGTCCCCTTATGTGCATTGCTTTATATTTACCTGAAGTTCATCTTTCATTTGAATACAGTTGCTCCTGTAAGGTCCTTCTGTGATTGTTTGCAGTCGGCCACTCTTGTTACTACCCTGAAAAACTTGGTGGCATCAGCAAACCTGGTCATGTTGCTATTCACCTCCTGTTCCAGGTTTTTAATGAATATGTTGAGAAGCATGTGTCCCAGCACAGATCCTGCAGGAGTCTTGCAGGTCTGTAAAAAAACCTTTCTCTGTGAAAAATGACCCTTTTTAATCCTTCCTGATATATTTGTGAATATTTGATTTCTTTCCTGTCTTGAAATCAGTTGTTCATCCATTTCAGAGCCTTTCCTCTTCTGGCTCCCACTGTTTGTCCTTGTCTTTGTCTGGATCAAACTAGTCCCATGATGGCATGTTGCTGGTGACCAATGCTGTAATTTGCTACATTACACCCTTATCCTTTCTCCTCCTTTTGTTTTTTCTCTTCACCGTCCCTGTTTTCTTGTGCTGAACTTAAAATAAAAGTTTTCATGATCTCTTTTTGATATAAGACCTACAACACTAGGGCCCCTAGTATGTCCCCGGGTCTCTAGATCCTACTGGATTGTAAATATCAAGAGCAAGAAGTGTGCGACCATTATATCTGATATAAATTAAACCAGTTTTGACAAATTAATTCAAGGAATTGAGGGCATATCAGCCTTATTTTGGATGAAAGTAAAACCTCTGTTACTTAGACTGGCCCTGTCAATTCAGTGGCTTTGTAAGCGAGCAGGAGATGTGGCCGGGCTGCCTGAGGTGACAGAGCTGAGGATGGTGGGAAGTGGAGGATCTACCAGTCTTTGTCAGAGAAACAGCACCGAGGTCTTAGTCGTGACTGTTGCATGGACAGACCTGCCTTGCCAATCCAGCTCCCTGGAGAAACGAGTTGTCTAGTGGTGGCTCTTTCCACAGCTTGGTTCCCGTTGGGCAGTACGTGGATGTGTTTGTTCTTTCCAGCTCTGTGCTAACGATATCCTGGATGGAGTCGAGGACCTCATCGATGGGATTTCTCATCTGCCGGAGCCAGACAAGACCCTTCACCCCCAGGACTCGGACCCCCAGCATAATTCTGGGCACGGGGATGAGGAAGGTGAGACAAGCGAGGGGTTGCGGAACTTCAGACACCAGCTCTCTTTCTGTTGGGAAGACGATCCATCTTGGTATAAGAAGATATTGTAGGCAAAGCACGAAATGGTGCTGTTTAAAAGATTAACTGACTGCCCAGCACTAGGAGTTTCTCGGGGTGGGCCTACCAAATTTTTTCTCCTCTTAACAGAGTGATGTTATTCTGCCTGTCAATTTTATAGCTCTTTGTCTCTAGTGGCATTTGATTGCCTTGTATTTAAGTCATAGTTGTGGCTTCCTACTAAAAATAAAGTAATTGGGGAGGAGGAGGAGGAGAAGGCATAGAAGGAAGGCACGTGAAGGAGGGTTTGTGTGGTTAAGGCTCTGGCCAGGTTAAACATTCAGGATAGCGGTGTTTGAAGAATATAAGTACCAGAATAGAAGCGACTGCAGCAGGTGAGCCCCATGGTGATGGGCATTTAGAAAAGCTGCCTAAAGAGAGGTCTGTGTCTAATACTGCAGAAGAAGAATTTGGTGCTCCCTTGCTTTTGTGTCAGCTTGGGTTTAAAGACACAGTTTCTTTCTGCATTGTAGCAGGGTGCTGCAGTGGATCCCCGTGTGAGGGTCTTGCAGGAAAGCGATTTGGTTCCCCTTTTGACTTGCCAACAAACTGGAGACAAGGAGAGGAAGTGGTCTAATATCTCTCCTTGGAGTACAGAAGCCAGCTCTGAGCTCTGTTAGGGAAGGCATCTCTTCCTAACTGGAAGATAGGAACAACAAATTGTTGGGGAATTTAGCCCAACAAATCCCAGTGAAGTTCCTTCCTCTCTGCCACTTGTCCTATGTGGCAGCAGAACAAGTTTCTAGGAGTTGTCAGCACCTCTGTCTGTATGAGGGTTTTATAATATGATAGAAAAAGCCCCACTTACCTGTGCTTACCATAAGCAGTACTGTGTGGAGAATCCCAGCTTCTCTTGCTCCAGCCAGGAGCATTAAGTGTTCTCATTCTGGCTGCCTGACCTCTCTTTTTCCACAAGAGAGGGTTAACTCTGTCCCTGAGGAGTTCGTGTTCATACATCCTGCGTGGTTTCTGTGTGGTCTGGCTTTGGTTCAGAGTGTTAAGGTTTCCCTTGTGGCCATGGAAATAGCTTTTCTGTAACAGGATAGATTTTGCTGCAAATACCACTGCAGGATCAATGCACATACAAGTTTTTAGGTAGGAATTTCAGTTCTTTCTAGCTTAAAAGCTATTGTGAGCTGTTGATGTTTTACAGCAGCATTTCAGCTGCAGACAAAGTCTCTGTGTTCTGTTAGTAAAGCACTTTAGGGGATCTTTGAAGAGAGCAGCGCTCTGCAGATAAATCTGAAAGCCCACCAGCTGTCCCTTCAGCATGCAGCTCTCCTCGCTGGCTGCTGCCTAGAAAGGACCTTGAGGAATCTAGAGAAATATGTGGGCTTAGGAGGATTAGAAACTAATTGGAAGGGAAAGGGAGGAGAAGACAAAAGGAGAGTACTACCCATGTAGGGAACCTCAGAGATGGCTCTTCGCTAAGCTACGTGGTGTCTTGAGCTAGAAATAATTATCTTCCCTGGGAGCCACTGATCTTCCTTTTAATCCCCTTTTCAGCTTCCTTTTGTGAAGTCTGTCTAAGCAGTACAATAAAATTGCAGACAGCAATGAGTAGCTAAGTGTCCTACCTATCCAAATTCAGCAACCCACTGGGCAGCAGCAAAACTTTATATATTTGTCCCAGCAGCAAAGTCGGTGACTTTCAGGCAAACACCTAAAAGGACAGCTTTTTGTGTTTGTTTCTTGTCATTTCTATTTTTGCAAGGAATAGTCTGTGAAATGTTATATGTGAGCTTGAGGATGGCAGTTGAATAATTGGAGCTTCTCTTGTGCCCCTGGAACCATCATCATAAGATACATTCAGTCATCTTAAGAAATGATGCCACAGTGAAAACCACCTTCAGAAGGAGCAGCTCCTGCCCTGGTGGGGCTTCATAACAAGAGCCAGGCATGACCACAGGCAGAGACCAATTCTGAAATTCAGTCAAGTTTGCTATTTTAACCGTGATTCCTTCTGTCCTGCAGTGCTTGCCTGCCTGTTTAAATGTATTCTGGCCTTTGGGGGTTATTGTCCTCCTGAAAACGGTTGGTGGTGGAACTGGAAAGCTAGACCCAGCATTTAGATGAGTCTTTAGAGACTATTAAAGCACTAGAGTTGCTTTGCAACATTAAATGCAGACAGCTCCTACAAACGAATTAAGGCTCTGCTAGGGTCAGAAATACCCTTCCCTGTCTCCCAAAACTTCATTATGCTTTGGAAGCATTCCCTGAAAGCCAAGTGGTGGGGGTGTGAGTCCCAAAGACCAGAGCTCCTCCTGGAGACTATTTGGGCAGCTCTTCTTTGCCACTGCACTGAAAGGCTCCAGTTCAGCCATTTGTGACTCTGGCACTACTGTGGAGGAAAGAAAAGGGACCTCAAAGGAGTCGAGACAGACCATTTAAGGCTATACAGAGTACAGGCAGGTTCTGTAACCTTCCTGGGTACCTTGTGTGCAGACAGGTTTGATTTTTTTGAAGACCAAGGCTCATAAGCCTGCCTCTAAACAAGAGCAGAGACACTCCAGCTCGCAGGTCCTTGCCAGCTCCGTGTGTCAGGAGAGCAGAGGAAAGCCAGCTGTCTTAGCTGCCTCCAGGCATCACGTGCCAAAGTTCTGTCCATTATAGCTTGTCTCAGCCTCTTCTTCATCTTTCCTGTCAGCCTTGAAAGAAGATTTCCTAAATGACCCGTTGGTGGGAAAGAAAACAGATCAACTGGGGCTGCCCCAAACACTGCAGCAGGAGTTTTCTCTGATCAACGTCCAGATCCGAAATGTCAACGTGGAGGTAAAGAGCTTCCTTTTTCTGGCTTGTTAGGAGGGGATGTGGGCAGGCTGGCTCATTGGTGCTGTTTGAGGGGAACTTTCTTTGCCTCAGTGACTGCTGTTTTGTAAACAAGGTTTATTTAGAGCTGTAGAGATCCTCTTGGCCAGAGGTAGTAGGATAATCCAAGACACTGGGAAGGAGGGAAGTGTTTCAGTGCAGTGAGTACACTGGCACTGGTTCTGAGAAAGCTGGACAGTGTTTTCCTCTCTGCCTCGACTCCAGAGTTGTTCAGCTACATGGAGCTGATCTTATTTCAGCAGTCTCTGAACCCAGTGTTCTGAGCCCTCCCTATCCTGCACTTTTTCCCCTCAGTTTTGGCATCTCCCTCACATGCCAGATCCTCCTTCATGCCTGGAAGCTGGCTGGAGGCACAGCACTGTACTGGGATGGGGGGGCTTGAGGCAGCTGAATGTCTCTTTTCCCCTTCCCTGTGGTTTCACAGCTCGTGACATGATCCTGATGCAGTTTTCTGAGACAAGGATATGTGATCTTAGTGTCTCTTACTGCTGCACTGAGACTGGAGCTCTCCACGGCCGTGTGCTGGTGCGAGCCGAGTCAGTCCCAGCAGCCTGGGGTGTTTTACTGTCACCGTGTTCACTGCCCTTGAGAACAGCGTGACTTCACCTTCTGGGTGTGCAGAGGAATCATCCCCTCTGTGTGAATTTGAGCCACTCTAAGCTTAAAGGTCCTTGGAGGTGTAACTACAGAGCAGTTGCTTTTCCTCACGCAGATGGACGCGGTGAGTCGCAGCTGTACGGTATCGGTGCACTGTGGCAACCACAGAGTGAGGATGCTGGTGATGTTCCCCGTCCAGTACCCCAATAATGCTGCACCATCCTTCCAGTTCATCAACCCGACCTCCATCACTGCCTCCATGAAGGCAAAGCTGCTGAAGGTGAGGAGCATATGTTGTCTTTATAAACATACAGGTATTGGGCACTTGATGTCTGCATGACTGACACAATAAAACATCTGACCTTTCTGGAGACACACCACAGATCTGTGTTTGAGTTCTTATGTTGTGGAGCAGCTAGAGTGAGATTTCTGTTGGCCTTGCAGCCCAGCATTTGCCTTTCCCCACTGGTGCTTTTTAAACGTGTTCTTCACTGCTGCTCTGTTCTGGTGTGATGTGTATTGTGTGAGGAACCTTAACATCCTTCTCCTCGCATAGTTGCCCCCAACCCCATAATGGACAAAATGATCAGCTAAACATCCAGCTGCTGAACGATAGTTTTGAGCTGGGATGTTGCTTCCTTCTCTCCTCAAACTGTTTTAAAAATTAGGGGACTTTTTCTGCAGGCCCCACTAATTCCAGACTGGTGTAGGAATTCCTACCACTAATGAAATCTGTTCCCCAGCAACAAGTGGATGGATCAATTCGGTTTCTTTCCTTGAAAAAAAAAACAAACAAACGCACAACTGGTTCCATTTGCTGCAAACCAGTGTGGAATGTATGAGCTCTAGTGGTATAGAAGCCTTGATTCAGAGGATGATGAATGTAGGTGGACCCTTGGTGCTCTGATCCACACTCAGAGCTGTTCCTCGAAGCAGAGAGCACACCAGTGGGTCAGCGTGGCTCCAGTGGATGTTACAGGGAACCTCTCTGGATCCTGGGATCTTACCTGCTCTGTGGGGCAAGTGTGGATGTAAACCATGATTCAATCTGCATCTTGTGTGTTTTCCAGATATTGAAAGACACTTCTCTGCAGAAAGTGAAGCGGAACCAGAGCTGCCTGGAGCCCTGCCTGCGTCAGCTGGTCTCCTGGCTGGAGTCTGTTGTGGTATGGAGAACTGCGTGGGCTTTCTGCCCTAGTTTGTTGTCTTCTCCCACATCCCACGTTTCTGACTCTGCAGCGAGAGTCCAGCCTCGTTAGAGGTGTAAATAGACCCCTGTGCCTGGCTGTTACATTTCTGTAAGCACTTCTGGTTAATGTTGAAGAAAACTGAGCAGTTGATTAGATGTGTTTTGTCGCTGAAAAACTGGCCCTGAAGTTTTTCTGCTTTGGGGAACTTGGTATGCTGAGGTTGGTGGGAATGGTTGGGAACTGGAGCATCTTACTGGTGCATGGTATTTTCTCAGTCTCCTCAGGGAGCTGATGGATTCAGTCTTGTCTGAAAGGCAGTGGCACATGTCTTTACCACCTCAGTTCACATCAAAGATCTTGATAGTCCTATTCTCTGTTTCCTTCCCTTAGAAAAAAAAAAAAAGCTGTGAAAGTCTTTTTTTTCTGAAGCCTTATGCTGAGGTTTTATAGGCATGATACTGCAGATAAATCCAAGTCACACTCTGGCCTTAGCTGAAAGATCTGGGATACCTACTAAGCATCCCAGCATCGGATATTAGGTCTGTGTGTGGATGAAGCATACCAGAGTGGGGGTTTTTTAGCTTTCAGAAAAAGATTGGAGAGTTCATCACAAATAAAGGGCTTTTTTTTTTTTTTTTTTACATGGAAAGGCTTAATTCTGTTTGGTTTCAGCACTAGTGTTGTAAGAGTGGGAACTTAGTCCATTGTATGGAAATCTGATGATTCAAGCCAGGCTCTGATGTCTTTAAAGAATTACTTCAGACCTAAGCTGTACCACTCTTTATCCAAATAAATGCACATTTCTTTGTAAAATTGCAAGTTTAGCTCAGCACCCTGTCTTGAGTCCTATCCAGAGTCTGAAGGTCAGATTTTCTGTATCGTTTCCCACTGTTTCAGCCCAAGTTAAGCTCTGTATTTCAACACAGCTGTGGTGGGAGACCAATCTCTGGGTGAGCAGCCACAGAAGCCCTTTCCTCCAAGGTGGACGTGATTCCACATGCCAATAGCCACACTCTGTGCTTGACCTGCTCTGGCTCAAAGGACGAGCACCTCCCGTGAGCCTGCTCAGTGCTGCAGTCCCTACTGCCTCAACTGGGTTTCCTTCCTGCAGGAGCAGGAGTGTGACCTGGAATAACTTCTCTTTCAGAACCAAGAGGACAGCACGTCCAGCAATCCCTATGCTCTGTCCAACTCTGTGACACCCCCCTTGCCCACCTTTGCCCGGGTCTCCAACGCCTATGGCTCCTACCAGGACTCCAACATCCCATTTCCACGAACCTCAGGAGCCAGGTTCTGTGGTGCAGGTTAGCCCTGTTGCTGATCCATTACAGCAGCTACCCAGGGAATGGGCCTTTTCATGTCTGGGGGAACACTTGCCTCTGAACAAGGCAACGCTTTGGTCGCTGTCATGCAACGAGTAATTTTCTCCTGTGAAGAAAGGCTGGGAGAGTTGGGGTTGTTCACCCTGAAGAGGAGAAGGCTCTGGGGAGAACTTCTGGTGGCCTTTCAGAACTTCAAGGGGCATCTCAGAAAGCTGGGGACAGACTTTTGAGCAGGGCCTGTTGGGACAGGACAAGGGGTTTGAAACTAAAAGGAGGAGATTGAGACTAGAGAGAAGGAAGAAATGTTTGACACTGAGGGTGGTGAGCCCCTGTGTCCAGAGAGGTGGTGGATGCCCCATCCCTGGAACCATTCCAAGTGAGGTTGGATGGAGCTCTGAGCAACCCTGCTTGAGTTGCAGATATCCCTGCTCGGTGCAGGGCTGTTGGACTAGGTGCCCTTGAAATCCCAAACCTTTCTTTGATTCTATGAAATCCTACTAAAGTAGCAATGCGTTGATAAGTGTATAGATAATGAGACTAGTTAGCAATTGTTTGTAGTGGGTATTGCATGTGGAATATTAGGATTTGGAAATCCAGGGCTAGTCGAAGAGATGACCTTTGGTTTGTGGCCTGCCAGAGGCATTAACACACCTTTTACAGAAGACTGGGAATAGCTGTTCCCCTTCCCTTGTTCTTTCCAACCAGCATGAAATTGCTGGCTCTCAGTCTTCACAAAATTCTTGTGATTTAGGGTTGAATTTACCCCTTGCTGAAGCCATATTCTTGTTACTAACCGC